GAAAGGGAAGCCGTACTCGTGGTCGATTTCTTTGAGTTTGTTGTCGATAATGGCGGGCAACCCGTTCTCAGATCCGTCATCAATCCGCACCTCAACCTCTGCAGGGCTGTTGGGAGAAGTCTCATTGCCTGGTTCTACAGACTCCGGGCCTGGCGACAACTCCGGTATGGTCTTCGCTCGTGATCGTGCTTTAACGCCGGCGTGGTACTCATCGCAAAGCCTTTCTGCGACAATTTGCAAGAACTCCTGCGCATCCTGCTGACTGCGACTGATCCGCGTCCGATAGGCGTACTCAAGAGACTGGATGAAGGGTCGCGCAGATATGGTTTTCTTGTAGATTGGGCGTTCGTTTAGTCGGTCGAGCATCTCCTTGAGAGCTCTGGTGATGCTACCCTGTTGCAGTTCCCTTATCCTGTCCGGCTTCGCATCCCGAGGCATATCATCCGGTGGGGGAAGTTCGTTGTATATATCAGAACCGTCTAGTTCACGCCTATGAAGCTCTCGGATCAGGTAGACACGCAGATCACCAAGCCCTGCAAGAGCCTGCAGCACCGAGTTGATGAAGCAGTCATTGGCGGGGTTGGATAATCCAACAATATTCTTCTTGCGGGAATTATCGTGTGACTCGTCTCCATCGATAGTGTAGTTGGGGCCGAAGACATAGAATAGAGCAATAGCCGCAAGAGATGCTCCCGCCGCATAAGCGGCGACAGTGCTTGATTTTTCCTGCATCACCCCTTATACGTGTCGGGTTGTGTAGCTGAGGAGAGCAGGACTGGGGGACGGAGAGAAGCGGTCGTCGACGTCAATGCTATGGTTGATCCATCGAAAGATGTGCCATGAAGCTGGGTAGTTCAAACAGACACGGAACTCCGGTGCCAAGAAGACGAGCCAAGCCGAGATTTTCCCTCCTACACTTGTATCCTCTCACATATACGCAGCCTTCAGGGGTCCATGGGATCAGATGGAGGTTTTATCAGTTGTTCGATGGCTATAAGCGGGATAACCGTCAGCAGCAGTTCCCCCATAGAACCGAGGGTGTGGAGAGGGCATGGGGTAATTTCAGGTAGACAGGAGGGGGGCCGCCAATGACAGCGTTCTCACCAGAATAGAGTAATGAGGCGGCTGGTATCCCACTCCAGTGCATGCCAAACACGAGAATACTTGACGAACCTATTCGACGCGGTAGCCGCAACGGAAGACTTCTCGTTGGATAGGCGGTAGCAGGGCTGCTTCTCTGTTTTCCTTGGTATTCTCGGATGTTTCTCAGCGCCGAGCGCCCGCTATGCTCAGCGCACCGACGGGAGACTTCGGCGTTTCCCACAGCGGTTCATGATCCCCACATTACTTTATTGGTAATTCACTATGATTCAACTATTCCGAAGATCTGAGGATCAACCAAGAGATCGCAGTGGTAGTTTGAGACGTCTGCAAAGCTATATTTTTAGGTAATAGGGGATGGTTGCAAGCTTGGAAGGGCTCACTCCTGTCGATAGAGCACGCAAATCCCTTGCTGCCTCCTGTAATAGCATGGCGAGGCTCAGTGTAACGAAGCAATCGGATAATCAAGCTAACAACCACTGCGGATACATGGCAGGTTAGGATTAAGAGCACGAAGTCCGAACGAACTCCACGAGAAACAATAATGATGAGCGGGGGTGCCCGGTGTGATCGGGGTGAGAAGGAGGAGAGGGGCACTCGAATGTTCTATTTGCCTGAGCCTCCGCCTCAGCCCGAGTCACAAAACAAAGGAAACTACCACGCGAACACACTAGCACTTGTACACTTCGTGGGAGCCTACCCCATAACGCATGATATTACTTTAACAACACTTTTTGTTGCCTCTATTCTAGTCAATAGTCTCATATCATAACATGCTAACATCCATAAACCATCGAGATTTCCAGGAAAGCATCGTATCAATCGGTACCCATAATACACGCAAGAATTCTTCTTTTCAGAAGCCAGCCTGATTTTGAAGAAGTGCATCATTTAAGCCCGTAGGGACTCGGGCAACGTAGCAACCTTTTCATTGAAAAGATCCTCAGCCTGCTTCCAGACGCGGGCGTTTTGCCGGTCCTTCAGCTGGAGCAAGCTAGGGAGCAAGGCCTGGCTGAACATCTCCGAACTCTCACGAGGCAGAAGAGACGGAAGGTGATCGATGCTGATCACACTCAGGCCAGCAACCTGGCTTCCGCCTGCCAAGGTGACGGGAACAGTAGGCTTGTCAAAGGTAGTAGTGATAGAATACACAGGGAGAGGGTTGTGGGGGTTGGTACTATTGATAAGAAGTTATACAATGGTCAGCGGAATTCCCGAGGTCAGGAAATGGGAGCCTTACGTATCAGCGCTCACATCGCAGATGACCGACAAGCGGCGGTTCGGCGATGTAAGAGTCTCTGGAGTGACGAAGGGAGGGATCTGTGCGCTGAGGTAAATGCAGTTGACGAGAATATCGACATCCTCGACGATTTCCCGGAAGGGACCGCCTGCAATAAGTGTTAGTGCACGAAAACAACAAAAGGCTAAAGACAACTGACCCTTCTTGGTTTCCTCGATATCCCACCGAACAATGTCGGAGTCTGGAATACCCACGTCCTTGGCGAGCTGTACAGCACCACTACCACAACGGCCGAGCTGTGACATTGTCAGAAGAGTTGTTAGATTAGACAAGACGAATAACTCACAGCGCCAATGACAAGAATCTTGGGAGAGCGGCCAGACTGCTTCTTACCCTCCTCAAGGGACTTCTTGACCGACTCGATCAGGGCATCCTGGTTGATGTACGGAACCTCACCAGGCAAAGGCTCGCCCTCAGGGTGCGTCAACTGCCAAGCCCAGTTCTTAACAGCCAAAGCGGAACCGGCATAACCGGCGGACCAACCGAAAGCTAAGGCATAAGATCAGCTGCTGTAATGATACATATTCATGCATAGTTCTTACCAGCGACTCTCCGACCGACATCATCGGTGAGGAATTCAAGATCCAAGAGAGTACCACCTCCCCGAGGCCAGCGGCTGAGGACCTGCTCCCAGCCACCCTGCTGCTTGTAGCAGTGTGCAAAGGAGATGTGAACGTGCTCCAGGGGGAAATCATCCTCAGGGAGCTCCTTGAGACCCAGAACGTAGGCATCCTTGGGGGCATCCTTCACCCAAGAACCTTCCTCCACCAGCGGCGCGCCAATCTGTAAGATAGGAAGGTGAGATTCCGTACGAACAAAAGGGTGACGTGCTTCTACACGCATACCTTGGCAAAATCTTCGTCTAGAAAGAGATAATGATGTTAGACAGGTTCACAAAACCGAGTGTAGAGATGGCAAGCATTAAAGGATACAGCTGCTAACCAGCCGTACCCCTTAAACGTCATTGAAATTGTGGATTAAGAAAGGTGTCCCTCTTACCATCAAAAATCCGCTGGGTGGAGCGCTCGACAGTCACTTCATATCCAGCATCCATAAGAGCCTTGCAGGTAGTCGGTGTCACTGCACCATATTAGCATACTAGAGCAATATGCAATTGGCTTTGAGGTCCAATGCTCACAGGCAGACCGAGCCTCGGCGGGCTTAGTTTCGGCACGCAGCCAGATCTTGTTGGAGGACATGTTTGTGAGATGGCAATTGGGTGTTATCTGCGTAAAGTTGGTGTTCAGGATCAGAATTTTAAAGTTCTTCGACGAGAAATTAATGCTATCGCTGCTGGACCTATGACACAGACTTGCCCCTCTGGTGATAGCGGGGAAGAAGAGTGGTTGTTCCGTCCCGGAATGTGACTCAGCGTGCACTGTCATCGCCGATTTCGGCGATTTGAGATACTGCAATTACGAGAGGTCAGCCCTAGAATATGCCTCGAATAGAAGTGCCAGAGATGGCTACCATAGGGTTGTTCTCAATGGCATAGAAAACAATTTAGCTTATCATGCTAATCAAGTTCATATTCTGCTATTCGAAGCAATTGATACTCTCATACACAAGAGGTGTCCTAATTCCGGTCTGTTTTCCGACAAGTGCCATGTTGATGAATGTCCACTCCTAACGTCATTGAGACAAACAATCGGAGGCTTCAAGGAGCAACCTTAGTGCGACTGCGTGTTCGACTACTGATACCATCCGTCGGGGGCTCTCTTTTGACAGATTCCTTTGCAGTTTTGGATCGCCCACTCTTCTTGTCCCCATTTGTAGTTTGGCCTTTCTTAGTGTGCTTCGCAGTCGTAGGAAATGGCGGTGCGGTCTCCGGCCCATTTTTCTCTGCATCATTCCTCTTCTTCTTCTTGGTTGCAGGCTCCGTTGCATCATCAGCGCCAGTTTTGCCCGCTTCCACTGTCGCGGGTGTCCCCTCGTGCTCCCGCTTCTCACCCACATTCGACTCAGTAACAGACTCCTTGGGAGCTGTATCTACAGATGTGGGAACCTGCGAGCGGGGTTCCGTCTCATCGGTAGATTTCGCGTCATCAACGGTCTTGGTGTCTGGAGTAGGCTTGTTCTCCTCAGCGGGCTCAGTCGCGGAGGATAGTTTCGCTGGAAGATTGGCGCCATTTGTTGGCTCTTGTTCTTCTGAATTGTCAGTACATGACGTCTGGAGCATGAAGGAGAGCCGGACGAGGAGAAACCACAAGGCGAGAAGTATATAGAACCGGACCTTGACATACCTGATGATGTGTTGGAGTGATTACTAGGTTGGAAAACCATAACTGCCCGCAGTTGCTGGATAAAGCGGGAAATGGTGAAGTTTCGTCAAAGGTGCCTTCGTCTTGTCTGCAAAACTTGTGGTCGCGAATGGTATGCGACTAGTATTCCAATCAATGAATGAAGAAGTAGCCGAAGATCATCTGCTCAGACGAAGCGGTTGTTGAGAGAAGGTCCGAGAAGAAGACGAGGTGAGGTTGCGCCGTGACGTTTACTAAGGCACGATCAGGGGCGCTAGCCCGATTCACGCGGAACTCAATCTCGGCAGTCCCCTCTTGCAGTCCAGATCGAGAAATGTACAGAACCACTAAGAATTGCACCGATGCTCAGCCCGAGGGGAAGAGATAAGCCCTAGCTGCACCGGGGTTGTTGTTAGAGGTAAGCACGCCAAGAAGAGGAGAAAGCATCCCTTAGCGGCAGGAGTGGAGTCCGATGCGGAGTATTAATGCCGGGAGGAGTTGGTGTTTTGGTGTGACTGTCGCAATGACAATGCTGCTGGCTGGCTGGAAGCGAAACATGGCTGACGAATCTCATCCCCTCGATCTGCGCGCTTCCGTTAGGATCCGTGACGCAAATTAGCCCGGTCAAAGAGCTGCATTGCATGAAGACTTTTCGTAAATTATTCCACAAACGCTGTAGAAGAACGGTTACATCAATCAGGTCCACGCCATGTCTACTCGGAGTAGTCGAGAAAGCAAAGCCTTTTCATCTGCGGATGCTTCATGTTCGACCTTCGCTTTATCCGTGTCTGACACGTGCTGCAGGATACCTGCCAGCCATGTGGCATCTCCCCGCTTCCCCTGGTCCATCAAAAGACGGAGTGCGACCGAGCCACTGCGCACAAATACCTCTCGTAGGCCCACCGGCCATGTCTGCAACGTGGGCATATCCTTATTATACACATACCGAAGAAAGGGCTTCGGGTCGGGTACTGTGGGGTGGTAGAGAGCCACTGAGGCAGTGACAAAGTCCGTACACACGGTAGCAATCACCCTGGCGTATTCTTCATAGACAGATGCAGACACCACGTTATTATCATTCGGTACTTCCCGACTGACCTGCTGGAACAGGTATTTACCAGCGTGTCGAAGAAGGTTTTTCGTGTCACGTCTGTTATGCAGATCCTCCATGGAGAAATACATATCTCCCACCTGCACGTAGTACCGCATAGCGGAGGACAAGCCACCTCCATATTGATTCTCAGCGGCAAGAAAATCTGTCAGAAGGTTTCTAGCGACACGCTCGGCGAGGCTTCGGCTGATATGGCCATTGAAGGCCCGAAGATCGGCATTGGCCAGCATTTCCAACCAGGTCAAAACAGTATCTTGCATGCCCTCCGCAACCATGAACTTCACCAAGGTGGCAGACGTTTGTCGATGATCAAATATCTTTAACCGATCTCGCCAACCTGATGCAAGCCACCAGTTCACAACTTTGGTCGCTGCTTTGGAATCTTTCATGGCCCTGACAAAATCATCGCCGGTACCTCTCGCAAGCATTAACTGGTACTGCAAGCATTGGAGAAGGTCGCCTTTAGTGACATGTCCTGCCGCTGCCAGTTCGTCGAATACCACCATGGGCTCTGTCAACATTCTTCGTTGTTTCGCATCGCGCATGCCTGACGCATTACTGGAGATGGGAGAGGCCGAGGGGGCTACCCGGAAAAGTGGGTTGTCCAAGATGTTGTGGAGAAGTCTATCAGTCGCATGAGCAGACGAATGGGAATTTTCTGGTGGATGCTCGGCAGAAGCTCCATTACGGTCGGATGTAGAAGGGTTGTTGGTCGGATATTCACGATCGAGCTGGCGACGGAAGGAGGATGTGATGGCATTGAGGAGTTGCTCGGACTGACGAGGGGTGCGGGGAAGCGGAAGATGCAATTTAGACCAAGGATATCTGACGGCCGGGGAGGCCCTCATAGTGGAAGAATTATCACAAATGCAGCGCCTGTCGCAAAAAGCAGCTAGATAATGATAAATGAAGGCTGTCGACACTGGCTGGACCCCTTCTGCTGGGGACAAGTCCCGGGCTGCGCCTTATCCAGCAAGTCACGAGCGATATTGGCCCAAAACGACGGGCGGTGAGCAAGGGCTGCCAGTGCCACCTCACCACGCGATCAAGCCTGGCTGTGAATTGGAAGGGAGCTGAAGATGATCTATCCCTCAATTGAGTTGACTGGTCGCCCAGTCGGAATTTGAACAGATGTAGGATAAATACAGTGTGGCAGGTGCCGGTCCACCACGAATCTGAAGGAACACATGCCTGGCTTAACTGATTTTCCACATTACCATCGTCATAATATTAGCAGTAAGTAGTGATGACGAAATCATCGACAGAGCGAACCCAAAGACTCGGAACGCCCATCAGGCGAGGTGGTACGAGGTAAGTAACAAACCGATTGGTAGAGAGAGAGCAGTTCTACCCCAATAATGAGCAAAAAAAAGCAACTTCATTTCTCATCTACTACAATCGCATCAGTAGCACTGTACGTAGCTAAGCAATTAAGTCAGTTAGCAAATCAGTACTACGACGTACTACTCCGTAGTTATCCCAGTGATTGGGGTGGTAAATTGGAACGCGGTAAGGTAAAGCAGGTAACACTGCCCAGGACCGCATGCTCGCTAAAAACGGGGCGCGGGCAACCAACGCGACCGACCGAAAGTCGCCTTCTCTTCCCCTTCCGTCCCATCCACACCTCGAACCCCATCCATTCAATGAACTCGATCTGCTGCTAAGTAGTAGTCTTTCCCTACTAAACTTTCTGCACCTCCTCCCCCTTCACCTCTAATTATTATTTCCTTTTTATCTTTTCTTGTGTCTTTTGCATCCTTTTTTTATCTCTCGACTCTTTCGGTCTCTTTCTTCTCCTCTTTCCTCCCTCCCAAACCCAAAATCCTGGCGGTCCTTGTGTGCCCTTAGTGGTTCTGGTGCTGACCTCTCTCGTGAGGCTGCATCTCATCATTGCTACCGTACTAAGTTACGACCTTTTTACCCGCTTTTTCTTCCCACTAGCCGCACCTTGATTTCCTCCCTTCGTCCACGTTGGGTCCTCTCCGATTCCTTCATCTTACTTCTCCATACGGGAGAACCATAAATACCAACAACAGATATGTCTGAAGTTCAAACAAGGCCTTCTGCCTCTCGTGGCAGGGTATCTACCCGTGGTGGCCGTGGCGGCTATAGCTCCAGAGGTGGTCGTGGTGGTAGCAGATCCACAAAGGCAGACAACTCAGACGGCGCACCCACCGCATATGAAGACGAGGGAGAGCTTGGTCAGATGAAGAAGAAATACTCGGACACTCTGCCCATGCTGAAGGAGCTGTTCTCTGATTGGACTGATGAGGATCTGGTCTTCGCTCTGGAGGATGCAAACGGTGACCTTGAGGAGGCAATTGATCGCATTAGTGAAGGTATGGTTTTCATACTGCTACTTGGAATAGCTCGGGGTTTCTGGGTTTTACTGACGCTACTGCTTCTATTCCCACAGGCAATGTCGCTCAATGGGGCGAGGTAAAGAAGAAGACTACGGACCGCAGCCGCCCTAAGACCAAGGAGGTACAGAGCACTCCCGTCGAGACAGTCGCCCCCTCGGTTCGAGGTCGTGGCCGTGGTGGCTTTGAAGGTCGTGGTCGCGCCCGTGGTGACCGTGGTCGTGGAGGTCGTGGTGGTCGGGCCGGTGCTCATACCAATGGAACTCGCACGGAGAAGCCAGCTGTCGCCACTTCGGTCGAGGAGACCACAGCTACGCCTGCGGCTGCTCCTGAGCCTGTCGCGGCTACCAAGCCCGAAAAGACCGTCGATGCCGAGCCTGCTGCTGCAGAAAACGTTGACGATGGCGCCAAGGAGGCACCCAAGAGCAGTGTGATCCCGGAGGGCACAAAGAAGGGTTGGGCTAGCTTGTTTGCCAAACCGGCGCCGCCTCCTCCTCAGAAGAAACCTGCCGCTCCTGCTCCTGCTCCTGCTCCTGCACCCGCTCCCGCCCCTGCTACCACCGCTGCCCCTGCCCCCGAGAAGCCTGCTGCTGCGCCTGTAACGGAGCAGAAGCCAGTTGAAACCGCCCCGGCTCCTGCCCCAGCCCCGGCTCCTGCCCAGGCTCCTGTTCCCGTCCCGGTCCCCATCCCCGTTCCTGTCCCTGCCGAAAAAGCACCCGAACCAGCTATTCCTCAACCTCAACCGGCCGCAGAAGAAGCTCCTGCCGCTACTCCATCTTCCGCTGATGTCCCCGCTCCGAAGGATGATTTGACGAAGAACAACCTTGCCCAGATCCCCGATGTCTCTCCTCCTGCTCCCACGGCTACCGCAGCTAGCACCGTGGGCAGTGCCCTTGACTCTACCCATCTTGCAGCGGCTGCCACTCCCACGCGCGCTGCTCCTGGAACTTACCCTTCGAGTGCCTTCAAGCAGAGCACCCGCACCCCTGGCACTCAACGTCGTGTGATGGAACAACAGGAAGCTGTGGTCATGCCAGGAAACCATGCTGTGGATCGTGCTGCGGTCCAGTTTGGCAGCATGGGATTGAACGGCGATGCCGCCGATGTTGACATTGATGAGAACAGAGAAGAAGCTGAGACCCGTGCTCAGCCCCCTCAGCACTCCCCTGTTGCTCCTCGTGCCTCGTTGCCTCCTTCCACACAGGCTCAGGTGCCCACTGAAACCCCTGCAGTCTCTCGCCCGGCTCCGGGACTTCCTCCCGTGCCCCAGGTCTCTGCCGCTGAAAACTCCTTCACTGACTTCGCCCGCTACACCGACGCTCATAAGCCCTACGACCCCTTCACCCAGCAGGTCACGCAGCCTCAACCTCAGATCCAGGAGCCCTTTGCCAACCAAGCTCCTGTGCAGCCTACCGTCACGACCGGGAGCGAGTATTCTCCCTTCTATGCCGTCGACCAACGTCTTCCCTACAACTACTACGGCACGTACGGTCAGTCTCAGGATGCCACGGTCGCTGCCCAGAGAGCAGGATTTGGTGTTTCTGGCGCCGAAGTGCAACCGCATGTTCCTACCACTCAGCCTCCTAGCCGCTACGGCCATGTTGAAGCTCCTAACAGTGGCCACACCACTCCTAACCCCACCCTTCCTGGCGCTACTCAGACCCCTACGGCTCAGCACATGCCTGGCCAGGGCGCTCACAGCTACGGCTACGGATACCCGTACTACTCCAACCCTCACTATGCTTCGTACATTGGCCAGATGAACCAGTACGGCAGGAACCGCCCGATGTACGATGATGCCCGGAGATACGATGACCACTACCTTCCTCACAGCACTCAATATGGTTACGGCAGCCAATATGGCCCGTACGGAAAGGCTGGAATGTATGGCCAGCCTCACGCCTTCTCCTATGACCACTCCTCGTCGCCCGCTACAGCGGCCACCTTCAACCAGGCCATTCCCGGTCGTGACTCGGTCTACGGCCGCACTGGATCCGCCCAGCCATCCGAGACTCAGCAGTCGGCAGCCGCCGGCTCCAATGCCTTCGCAACCGGCATGTCGGACGTCTTCGGTCGCACTCAAGGCGGCTTCGGACAGAACCAGCCGATCACCCAGCAGCCTCCGGTGACCACGGAGGAGACGAAGAGCTTCGATACTCCGAAGGCTGCGGGACCCAGCCCTTCTCTTGCCCAGGCTAACCGTCCCGGCTCCGCGACCAACAGCGCCGCTGGTCAGCCTCAGGCCCAAACCGGCCTTCCCCCGCTGCAGGGTCAGCAGGGCCAGCAGGGATTCGGTGGCTACCCTCACCTGAACCCTCAGTATGGCGGATTGGGTGCCCTGGGCGGCCACCAGGCTGCAGCCAGCCAGACCCACCACCAGCCCACTGGATACGGTAACTACGGCGGCGCAGGGTTTGCCAATTACTATGGTAACTCTGGACGCGGCGGCTGGGGAGGCAATTACGGTCACTAAAGGATTATGGCGTTGCATCTTTTCCGGGTGATGGGATTCCTATTGGCTCGTTTCTTTTTCTCTTTTACCTCGGGCGCGGCAAGCCCTGGATTGAAAACCTATCTCCTCTTATATTCACTTGTTAACACTTTTTCCCCTCTATGTCACTCTCAAGTGTGTAATCTTTACTCTCAATGAGAGCTTGGCTGGTTTTACATCTTTGGTTGATCTTTTCTGCAGGGTTGCGCTCATGATGTATTGAATGGAAAAAAACGTTATCGCTTTGTTTTTATTCTTACTTATGTTGCTTGTTCACGGTTTACGACATTTGCCAGTGTCTTCCTATTATATTCAGATGATTTTTTTTTTTCTACGCCACCTTTATCTCCTTTGCTCTCCGGCTTTTGCCCCTTCTCGATTCGGTGTCTGATGAAAACCTTTCCATGGTCTCTCTTGCTCTCATCTACCTTGCATACTTTCCGCTTCCTGTACTACTTCTTTGGGTTCGGTTGGGACATCGTTCATGCAAATTGGCTGGATTAGGACAAGGGATGGGGGTTAAAGAATGCAAAGAATTGACTGGGACGGCGTTGGACCTTGCTTTTTCTTCCGGTGTACAAAAAGTAACTCACTATAGAGACGGTGACGAGGGAAAAGACACAATGGAGTAGCGTGTGCGTTCCGAGCCTGAATCCGGGTCTTTCCCGACACCGTAACCACGACCGTAGCTGTTGACTTGGCTTGTGCTGGGGCAGATGTAGTCTTCAGCTGACAAGTCCGATTCTTGACGGTGATTCCTTCGGATCTTGCCTACATAGCAACAACCCATTCTCACACTGGCTAGTGAAGTAGTACGCGCCTACATGATATATAAGGAGGGCCTCGATGGCCTGGTACTGCAAAGGTATCTAATGGTTTTTCTCCATCGACTTTATTAACTTACACATGTCATACGAATGTTAAATTTCACTGCTACTATTAAATTAGATGTGCTGGGAGAAAGGTCAATTGTATTCATGCCCAGTAGGAAGAGGATGAAAGGATTATAAAGTGAATCTAGTTCATATCTCTTTCCTTCACCGTCTATGCTGAGTGTTGATGGGAAAATATCTCTGAAATCAAACCAAATGGATACCACCTATATTGAAGCTGCTATGGCAAACCTGCTAATATACTCGATCATGTAGTAGTCACTTGTAGATGAACTGCTGACTGGGAAGTCGGTTAGTACAGTAGTAGGTCTAGAACTCTAGCAATGCCCTAAAGGTGCAGTAACTAGGCGTACGCACACACATACATACAAGGTGGCTCTCA